AGTATTATGATCTCAATAATATACTGTATGCCGACCTTAATGTAGGTTAATGTATTGTTACTATATCAATATAATATTCTTATTGGCACCATGCTGACCTGGTTTCAATAAGAGTATTTGAAATACCAATGCTTGCATACTGTACTGGTATTTTGATCTCAATAATATACTGTAAGCTGACCTTAATGTAGGTTAATGTATTGTTACTATATCAAACATGCTTCTTATTGGCGCAATGCTGACTTGATTTCTGTTGGAGTATTTCCTTTAGAGGAAAATATCAATGCTCTGTAATGGCTTACTATTATTATAAATCTCAATCATATATACAATATCAAACATGCTTATCATCAGCACCATGCCATACTGGTTTCTGCCAGAGTACTACTTAATGTACAATTATGATGATAACCAAAATACTCACTGCTGGCACCATGATGGCCTGACATCRACACTACAGCACATTAAATAATAATTATTAGCAATGTATTTAGAATCGTCAATAGCTAGAAAGGAGACTCAGAATACATTCTGAGTCCATCTGACCAGTATCTGAAGGGTCATGAGTTTGTTTTCTGTCAGATGGGCTCAGGAATTTTTCCTAAGTTCCCTGTTTCACTTGTAACATTCCTAAATACATTACAAATATTTTTTTTCTAGCTACCATGCACCCTTCTATTAATGTCCAAACAACTATATTACTATACCTATTATAAGCGCCATCCTGATGGCACCTTACCATTCAGCAAAAAAGATATCATGACTAGTACTAATGTACAATTATAATATCATTACCGCCGGCACCATACTGGCATTTATACTGYCTACCTTCAATTAAGAGTACATTTTCGATACAGGAAAATATTAATACAAATAATGATCAAAGTAAGATATCACTGTACTTGTTATTCACATTGCTCTAGCCTATGTTACATTTTTTTTTTAATATGTTGTTAGATTCAGGGTTTTTATTAAGTTTTGAAATAATAGGAAATTAGCCAAGAGTTTGTTTCAGGGTTCAATGTAAGTTAGCCATGCCCTGACTTAGATCAGCC